CTCTACTGTGTGATTGTATCATCCAATTTACACTCACGATACATTGTAGTGTATTTGTGCCTAACAATGTGTTAAGGCAGAGGTATGCTTCATGGTAAAGGGCAGTCTGTTCACTTAATAAGTAAGGTTTTGGGAACAGCTTACTAATTGTGATACTGTTTATTATCTTATCAATACAGTTTTTACGGTTATTTATAAATAGGTTAAGAAATACCTATGATACCAATACCCACTAGTCTTTAATGATGTTGAGTAATATCTATACGCTATTCTGATGACTTGTTTTAATCTTATTTAAAACATATATGTTCCCTAGTAAACAGACGTTGTTTTTATAATATATTCAGATAGGTCGCTGGGTGCCATGGAATGTTGTTAATTTGAATGAAAATATGATGACTGGCTTTAAAATATGCCCCTAAATCCCAGTAGAGGTAACGTTTGTACTAGGTACATACACCCGGATATGCCTAGACCACCAGTAATGTCCTTGTCCTGTGACACGATCACATGACATGTTTTTATGATCATGATGACAATCATTTCTTTTAAAAGGAAGCTAATAATGGAGATAATATAGAAATAATCTGATAGTCGGAGACATTTCTGGGTCTATATAATGTTGTGATGCATATTTTCTTTATGTAATTTTTTATTGATATTTAAGCAAAAAAACCCCAACAAGCTCACGACATTCTCGAATTTTACCATGGTTATCAAATTAAGACATTTCCATTCATATAATCTCATATCAATTGTTATATCCCGGCCTCATATGACCTAGGCTGTTGCGAGGACGTGAAACCCGAACAAAACAAACTTTTAATATCAATGGTTTGTTCCCTAATCTAGATATCCATGAAACTAAATGACACACTTGTTTACGCGTACATAAAAAGGTGAATAGATATAATCTAACATTTTGACTGCCTCAAACAATTCAACCAAATCCCTTTCTGTTACCAGTAGCAACTATGAGCTTTTAGTTTAAAATCTTTAGCCTGTTATGATATGGTATTTCTCCATCCATTGCACAAACAGTTTTGTTTCTCTACTGCAGTTAATAGTTGACTGTTGCGGTACTGATGATGATTCTCTAGTGGGCTATTTATTGTTCCTAATATCCCTTTAATCTGGAAACCTTTAACGGTTTAAGTGACAATTTACGTTTCAATAATACGGAACTTTTGTTATTGGGAAAATATTTTCGGAAAATATTTCTCTCCGGATTAAATAGGGTTCTCTACGTTGCTGTACAATTTTCTTTAAATATAATTGGTATGTAATGCTTTCAATCTCAAAATATGAATGTCTTTTTTATTTTTTTTAAACAACCGTTTTTAAAAAACTTTTTTTTTAAAAAACGTTTAAAAAATATTATAAAAGGCTATTTTTCTTCACAAAAACGAATTAGGAATAATGCAATGTGAGATAATGAAGTTAACTTTAGGAAAATGTGATATCGTTTATTATCTTTTTTTTTTCTTTTCTTTTTAGCCAACATTCTTTAGATTATAAAATATATTTTGTTCTACAATCAATAAAATAGTGTCAATAACACCACGAAAAAGCATCATCGCTGCGTGTTTTCATCATTGTATGTTACAACTCATATAAGGAAAGACACTATCAATAAAATACTGATAAATATCAACACTAATTGAAGTAATATTTGCTTTTATGGAAGTTTTGACGCCAATTTCGTCAATTACACTGCCAATGACTTGTTTTTACGAGAAAGTATTGTGAATCGTTTCTATATAATATGATAATTGGCTGTTTTCAGTATCTACACATTGTTACATTGACTTCATGAAACATATTGATGTACGCTACACGGCCAAGGACATCTTTTTAGTAAAATCGGGGTATACTATACCGGAAATGATCGGCCACACATAGACAGTACACGCACTGAAACACATGGTGCAAGGCAAGATCAAAGGATGTTCGGGCAAAAAAAGAAGTGAACGTCATAAAAACAATACTTTAAATAGAGCTCCGGAAAAAGCAGATATACATCAGCATGTTTTTTTATATGACAGAAATAAGCGGTGGTTGGCACTACAACAATATATAATGTTGTGCATTCTCAGCTTGATGTGTGCAGCTTTGCTGTGTTCAAAACCGCAATATTACAGACAATAACTTAAAGTTTTCTAGAGGGTAGTTATCTTCTTATTAAGCAAACTTAATAGACAATAGAATGTAACAACGTTTATATATACATTCTTTGTGCAAGAGTTTTAAATAAGTAGTTGACTGAGTTAGTACAAATGTCCTCGGTCACGACATCTTTATCTATTGATATGATTTATACAGACCGTCCGTATCAATCATAAAAAAAATAAAAATAAAAGTAAAAATAAAATGTTTACTCTGATAAAATAGTGTTGTTATGTCAATATACATTGAACAATCACGAAGGGTTGTTTTTAGGGCCTCGTAGAATTGTGTTTTCCCTGCCTATAGGAACTCCTTCCATATCCTCTCCCTCCTTCGAGGCGACGCAACCCCCTTTAAGCATACACTCCGAAAAATGATTTGCTACGCCACTGTAACTACAGTAGAATAACAAAGCTTTCATGGTCACATGCTTCATATGTTTAAATAATTTAACAGATATTAATTAATCGAACACAGATATTTGCCTGTAGCTGTATATTAGTCCACTTTTAAGATTACAAATGTGAACAATAGAAGCGAAGGTCATAAAAACTAATCTTCATAAAGATCTCCGGAAAAAAGCAGATATACATCAGCATGTTTTTTTATATGACAGAAATAAGCGGTGGTTGGCACTACAACAATTTATAATGATGTGCATTCTCAGCTTGATGTGTGCAGCTTTGCTGTGTTCAAAACAGCAATATTACAGACAATAACTTAAAGTTACATAGAAGGTAGTTATCTTGTTATTAAGCAAACTTAATAGACAATAGAATGTAACAACGTTTATATATACATTCTTTGTGCAAGAGTTTTAAATAAGTACTTGACTGAGTTAGTACAAATGTCCTCGGCCACGATATTTCTTATCTATTTAATAAGTTTGATGTTCATAATGCTACCAAGAATTATTGCGTTGAAAGAAGATTACTGCTCTGTTAAATTGGTGTCGAGACAAACATCATTACGTATATAGATATATGTTTTCAGTTGTAATTGCCAGCATTCAATTTGAAATTTCCGCTTGTCAAATTCCGAAAAACATCACATATGAACATATCTGATGTACAAATAACTCTAGTAAGAGAGTTTCAGGTTAAGAAATTAAGTTAGGTTAGTGCTGACTACACCTATTCAACACCGGAAGTATCTCGTATTTCATTTAGTCAGGATGGTGTGGTAAAACGAGACTTTAGGATAAGGCTGACACCAAAAGACAGACCTTTAATACTTCTTAAAAAGAAAACGGACACTAATTAGTCAGCCAAAGTACACTCCAGACAATATCCAAATAGAAATTAGAGAATATCGAAATGTAATCCATGACTGGATAAACAAATCTTCCTACAATTCAGAGCTTGATGCATATATGTTTATAGACACAGACCCATAGTTGTACACAATATGAATAACTAAACCATGAATCGACACACAATTTATAAAGTATCTTTGTAATATACATGGGTTTGAACTGACTGTATGAAGGTACTGACCTGTCACTTTGTCATATCGGCTGGTTTATCATATTGAATACTGTATCTACAGATCTTATCTACATTGGATGATAGGTAATTACCTACTAACTTATAATATTTAACTATTAATTTACATAATAATTAATAAAATATGTTGCCACCTTGACTTATTGCTTCTTTGAATGAACATTTCTGAGGTTAGTTTGTAACAAAATCAATGCAGCTGTATATTTTCTTAAAAATAGAATCATCGTATTGTTTCATCGACCAAAACGCCAGCAGAAAAACTCTGTCACAATTAAAATCCGTTTTTGTCGATGGCTTTAAGAGAGGGAAGAGGTTTGCATATCACGCCATTGTATAGTTACTAATACAATCACTGTTCCATGTGCTACTCGACAGAACTGAAGACAAAGTCGCTTTACATTCCTGTATATACCTCAGTGGCGTAGCATACATGTATGTTTGTATGCTTAAGCATACACTAAAATTTCAAGATATTTTTTTTTAATCATCAATTTCTATTAGTTCTTTTTTTTTATAATTTATATGAACCGTTCGTATCAATCATAAAAAAGGAAAAAAAATAAAAAAAATCTTTGAAAAATTTACTCTGATAAAATAGTGTTTTTATGTCAATACACATTGACAAATCTCGAAGGGTTGTTTGTAGGGCCTCGTAGAATTGTGTGTTTCCCACCTATGGTAACTACTATATATCCTCTCCCTCCTTCGACGCTACGCATCCCCTTTAAGCATACACTCCGAAAAATAATTTGCTACGCCACTGTACCGTAGAATAATAAAGGAAATGGATAAACTTTACTTATTTGTGGACTGAGACGTTCCTCTTAATACGCTGTAATATATAGAATTACCATATGAAAACATTGGACATAGATTTTTGTTAACAGGAGAAATGCCATGTTTTGCATTAAATTACACGTAGAGAGGTACGTTAGCGGCGGCTTTTCGCTTTGATCACACCCATAAAATTGACATACCTGTAGCATCTTCCATCATGGCTTGTTTCGTTGGATAGGTAATTATAGGTAATGTGTATATATATGGTTCATACCACATATGAACATTTGTTAAAAAAATAGATTTGAAATACTGATTAGAATCAATATTCGAAATTTAAATCAATTTTAATCATATTTTATGTTTGACCATTAATATTTGACTAAATTATATATTCGAATCATGCTTATATTTAAGTCATACTTTTTAAAGTAACATTATTAAATATACAGACAATTACTATGAAATAATCTTTGAAATTGAAATTTTGTATTTGCATTTTCATTTTCTGTAATATATATATATGCACATATCTGCATATCAGGTACATACCTTTTGAAGATGAAAACTCCAATAAAACAAAATCAACTTTAAATCCGGAAGTAATCCCACCAAGTAATTCCAGGAGCCGAAGGAGTGAAAAAGCAGGTAACACACACACCCTAAATTGCAGACAAAACACAATATATCCAGGTAATTGTAAGACTACGTATTTTGAGTAGAAATCACGTGTGTCCTAACTGAGCAAACAGGTATTTTTGTTGATTAATCTTTACTATCACCTGTGACAAATGACTTGATTGGGAATACAAACTAGCATACAGATTAATGCCTTTCCGTCATTTCTGTACAAATTTAGAGAAACCTGTCGTCGAAAAAGCACGAGGAGATAGTTGACAGAGGGCCAGTGTTGTGAGTACTTCGACTCCGCCTCATTCCGGGAGCTCTGGCGTTTAAACATTTTGTTAATACACAGGTATACCGGCGTATTGGTTGTGTACACACTACAGTGAACAGACCCACAAACCTGTATTCAAAATTGTACGATATCGTCGAGTTATCGTCGAGTTAGTCATAGTCCCCGTTGATCCTTAACATAGCAGCGCGGACCGGGTTCACTTTAAATATTAAAGGAAAACAGTGGTGCAGAACACCTTGTCCCTGAGAAATGATCCGAGGTAAAGAGCTGGCTATTTGTTACAGTGTTAAGATCTAGACGATTAGTATACAACGAGGGCACTGTTCTTTTTTATTGCAGGATATACTATTAGCTTTTTTTGGTTAATACTTTCATTCATTCAGCGGATCAGAGTAGGTTAAAGACGTTTGTGAATTTATTTATCCTTATTGTCAAACAATATTTTGTTTTGGTATTTAGGTTCTTGTATACGTTTTTACATTGTTAAAGTTTCACCAATTTGCGTTTATTATTAATGCATGAACATATACCTGCAAGCAAAAGCACAAAAGGCGTATATATTTTCAGCATTGACATCCCAAGAAGTATCAACACTGTGAGTGATTTGAATAGACAAAATGAGAAAACTTCCATAAGAAAACACCATACCAAAATAAATGCAGTATGCTATGTATATCAGGTAATACCGTATATTGTTACTTTATGCGTCTTACTATCATTATATAACCCAATATCCAGAACTTCTTAAATGGAACTCACTGGATCTCAATTAGTAAACCGATTAGATCGAATCAAGGATGTGTCGACTATTTTAGCACTATTTTACGTTGTGGAAACGTGACGTCATTATTCCATCATTGTCGTTGCTTTATCCGCAATGATTGTTTCTTTTTCCATAACGCATATTGAACAGTATTGCAGGGTTATGGTAAGTAATGCTTGGCAGTAAATATTCAAATAAGAAAAAACACTTTAGGCGTGTGAAACTTTTACACGTACACGTGCACTTGACGTCTCGGATTGCACTGGCTTGTTTCGCGTATTAATATATTTCACTTTGACTACAGCTCTCATGGAATATATTTCACTTTGACTACAGCTATCATGGAATATATTTCACTTTCTCATGGAATTTATTTCACTTTGACTACAGCTCTCATGGAATATATTTCACTTTGACTACAGCTCTCATGGAATATATTCATTTCAGCAATAGACGCCTGCCTTGGGAGACGTCATATGAGCTTACATGTGTGGTGTTGTCAATCCATTACATTTTATTTATCCAAAAGACCGAATGTCCCTTTGATGTCATTCTTGATGCTATGGAGGAACACTACGAAAGCCTGTCCTTTTCATAATCCGTATCGAGGAGCCTATAGTTTTAATAAGGGCTTGTTCAATTGATTGATAACAGCACTTTTATGTAATCATATAGTATCAGATACCGTTAAAAAGGGCAATGCAAATCATGTCTTAATTGGTTAAGTCGGACGATTATATTTTAAGTCAAACATATATTTTGCTTTTGTCTGTAATAAGTATGTTTGTTTGTTGATTAGCTTACCATTTTACATCGTATTATAGCCAAGTAACAGAAAATCACAGGTGAAAGAAAAAATCGAAAATATACCACAGTGACAACACAAAAATCAGAGTTTAGAGGAAATACAAAAATACCACAGCAGAAACAATGAAAACTCATTAAAACTCAGCAAAAAAAAACAAACAACCCATCATGAACCCCTTTGAACGGAGACGAAACCAGGAAGCCACGTGCTTCCTATATCACATCCATTATTATGTCTGCTGTCAAACCAGTGGCAAACGACTAAAGACATATATATATATATATATATATATATATATAGTGAACAACCCAACCAGTTATTCCATGGTAAGTCCTATCACTGAAAAGATCATGTCAGAACGATGATGATGATGACACGTTCTCCGAGTAGGTTGATGCTTCTAAAGTAAGATGATATTTACCGTAGCTTCTTATTTAATTTAAAAAAAACAAAAACAAACCAAGTTTAACGAACGATCGTATCTTACTTAAATCTAAACATTGCCGTGTAAATGAAATCAAAACGGATTACGTAATTTTATCGAATAAGGAAGATTTAACATGATAAAGTATTGCCTATTCAACCACGCGTTTCATCGACTCGGTTGTATCAAGCTTTTCCAGTATAACAATACATGGGACGAAAATAGTAATCACTGATATACCTGATAATTCTTGAATATGGAAACAATATATGGATATGGATATCATGGGATTCCAAATATTCACTTTTCTTTCAGGGAACAGTGTAATATTTAATAAAATGCTGAAAAAGGGAATACAAAATTCGACTTGACGTGCAATAAAGATGACAATGCTTGGTTTGACTGAACTAGAGCTGTAGTTTTGTCAAATGTAAGATCCTTGTGCAAACATATACATAATTATATAAATATGTATACAATGGACATACATGTGATGGTGACTTGCATAATGCAGTGACATGCAAATGCTACTGTTACATGATATCTTTCTAAAAATTAAAGTAAATCTATTTCATGTCACGATAAAGTTATTTACAGGTATATTTGCGAGGGGAGCAGCTAGTGATTTAAACTACACACATACAAGTACGAAATTCAGTTCAGTGATGTACCTGTCAGATGGCCACGACAAATCCTACGACTTGTTCATAAATTGCTATCTTATTGAAGACCGAATAAGAGTTCTTGATTTTTTTCCTTTTGTCCTGTGCGTTCATACATGAGTTTTTCTTCATTTGCACCAGACAAGTACTAAAATGCCCTCTGACCATAATATACCCACTTCTATTGACTTAGCTTGAAGACAAACTCGATCAATCAACGTTTGACATTTTCAAGCAGCAATCGTACTTCATACATTTTACGTGACATTTAAATATCAATGTATTTTGAGACGTCATCGCGGAGACATCATGCATTGTAAATATAATAAATGTTTATGTTTGTGGTTGGTCAAAATAGTATCACGTAGTCAAAACCGTTAGTAAATGAAAATATTAGACTTTTCAGATGAATGATACATATCTATTTAACCACATAAGTAACATTAATCACACACACATTCAATATTTATCATATTAATTTGTACTTATGAATTCTCATATGAATATCGATAAGAAATTCTCATCATTTCTCCGTATAACCAGCATCCAATGTTTCGTGTTTGTAATGAAAGAAACATTACCTGTTTTGTTGAACGTCTGTCTGTTTTGTATCCAAGTTAAAAACTCCAAACCTTTGAACATATTCCAGGAAAGAGGTTCGCGAGTGGACTCATCAAGAGTTATGATGCGTGGTGTATCTAGGTAGGATACACATTTAGTCGATCTGATGTAGCCCTGTTCATGCAGTGTTCCACATAGCATGTGAACGATCGTTAGAAACTGATCTATTTTCCTGTATCATGTTCTGATAGAATTAAAACTATTGAAGCAACAGTTGTGCGTTGTTCACACAGATGTAATCGTACTAGGGACGTTAATTATTGATACAGATCGTCAGGGGAAGCTGATTCCGAGTTAGTGAAACATTTGTTACTCCTCCTTCGTTGCCTGATGTTTTATTTCTATGAATATAAATGTTACAAGAATCACATATATTGGCCTTGTAAAAAACATCAAAGACATATAGTAACTGAAAATTAAAATGGTTTGAAATATTTTGCTAACATTCTTATTCCCAATCAACTTCAAGCTATCCTTTCTTTTGTTGTTCTCTGTAGTCGTATATGATTAAATACTTTTTAATTTTGCATTTCCTTGCATGCAAATAGAGTATGTACACCTTACACATTTATTTATTTATTATCTACTACATGTATATATATATACCTATAAACAATGAATGCAGGGTTTCTTTGATTTCAGGAATTTGAATTACTGATACGTTGTAACATCCAAATAATTTACTTCCGAATTCTTAATAAACCCCTTATTCTTTTAAATGAAGTAATTTTCGATACAGCTTTGATGTACTGTATAAACCACAGCTGTTCAACGCGACTGAGTTGGTACAGTGTAGTAACGTTCAACCCACAAAGTCAGGCATGCAACACGTAACCATGGCCTGGCATTATCAATTAATTTTGATTACCTACCATGAAATTTTACAGCATCTTGATTTGAATAATTAACCAGCGTTGACTATAAAAGTTGATAGAAATCACGCAGAATGCCGAGGAGATAGCTAAATAGACAGGCTGGGTTTATATATTGAATAATGAACCCAGTTATGTATCTCGAAAAAATATACAGTTATGTTGTTAAAATGAAAAATTAAATTGAGGTAAGAAAAGAACAAGAGGCGTTGTTTAACCTTGGCGATCCATCTACTTGGTTAGCAGCTGATCTATAATTGCTGTTTTATTGTGTGACGTCAGTAGGACACGATGCTATCAGGGTCACTGACTGAACATCATTGATTATTGCAGTCACAAAAGAACAGGAAATCACAAGATAAACTGATGAATCAGACTTGGTTACCATTTATTGTAAGATTCGTATTTTTGTTATGACGAGTAATTTTTTGTACTGTTTCCAAAAAGAAATTGTGTGCTCTCCAATGGCAATCTTAAACTTTTGTGTCAAGAAGGTACATGCGTACTCAACAAAATTTATTCTGGTGTCATACCTTTCTATTTCTGTGATCTACTTCATACAGGTCTAGATAGTCCGGATTATTCTGACGTTTTATCGACTTTTTTTTTATATCGGTCTGGCGTCGATTAATCGCCGCCAGACCGATATAAAAAAAAAGTCGATAAAACGTCAGAATAATTCGGAATAAGGTCTAGGTAATCTTGCATTTCTCACATGTTCCATTTACAAGACATCTGTTAAGCTATACTCAAAGAATATGAACGCTAGCATATATTAGTTTTAAAGTAACAAATGAGGCTATGGGTAACATCAGTACAAAATAATGGTCATGCCATATGTGACAATTAATTACTGTATACCGTACGCGTTAAACTTTCGTCCCGTTAAACTTTCGCCCTTCACCGGCAGAGTCCTTATTCGCCCAGTGTTAAATTCACCCTACACCGCCTACAGTGGAACACCACTGGACTCCAATTGCATCACATACGGTACCTGAGTTAAGGCTCTGTGTAGACGAAATGGTGACAAAAC